GCGGATGGCTTTGAAGCCCATCTGGATGTTTGGGATTGACGTCAAGCGTTGGTACTCGGCAATCCAGTCGGTACTTGGCAGCGTGCCTTGCTCGAAGACCATGAGCTTGTCCATAGCCTTGATCTAAGGCGGCTTGACTTGGATCTGCTTTTGCCATGCTGCCTTCAGATCATCCCAACTGATCTTGGTGTGCAAGTCGGCGGCAGCTACCACTCCGTACTTGGACAAGAGATTGTCCAACCAAGCCTGGCACGCGCCCCCTGAGCGAGAGTATAAGTATGCATGGTGCTTGTGTTCGTTGATGTTGTGTAGCTGCAGCGTGAGCTCGAACTTGCGGAACCATGGAATCGGATCTGTCTTCATCGAGTCGCAGAAGATCTCCTGCCCGTCAAACTTTGGAGCTGTCTCGCGCGGTTCCGAACTTAAGGTATTGCGGTAGTACAGATCCGCTGTTCCAGCTGTTGCGTTGCGGTCTGCTGTAACTGCGCGCCGTCCTTCAGGGAGCCGAAGTCCATCTCCAATGCTGCGAGGCGATCGGAGGTGTTGGAAGAGCTTGCATCGGGGGCGGCGACAGGTCGCTGCTCCAGCTGCCGGAGGCGGCCTTGGACGTGAGCTAGCGAGTCGTCGAGGCTGTGGATGTCCTCTTGCCGTGTAATGCATGTCGCCAGGAGGTCTGTGAGATGGGAGAGGAGGAGAGCGATCTTGTTTTCGCTATCCTCCAACTTGCCGTTCTCAGCCTCGGTCCGCCATTCCGCTGCCATTGTGAGCAAAGTCTGCTCTCCGCTAAATATCTTCTCACGACGTTGAGTTCTTTCTTCATCGGCAGCCCTTGCTGCTGCCTCGTCATGCTGGCGTTGTTGTTTAAGTGCCAGTTGACGTGCCTGCTCGGCGTCCTCTGCCTTCTTCTTCGCTGTTGCTGCTGCGTCATCCGCCCGTTTCTTTGTTTCGGTACTCCAAGCCAGCATCCGGGCCTGATAGGCCTCGTCTGCTTCTCTGGACCTCTGGTCCATGACGGCTGTATGTGACCGCAACAGCATATATCAGGCTGGGGGGCCTGCTGACGTGGTATTTCCTGCTCTGTCCGCTGACGTGTCCTGCTGACGTGTCCTGCTGACGTGTCCTGCTGACGTGGTCTGCTGGCGTGTCCTGCTGACGGGGTCTGCTGACGTGGCCTGCTGACGTGGCAACTCACCAATGCCGTTGCAGGGGTTACCCGGAGACAGGTAGAGAAGGTAGGGCGAGAGGTGGCAACAAGATAGGTGGGGAGGGTGGGTGGGAAGAATCGCCCAGATAAGGAGCCACTAATCAAAAAAGAAAAGTTTGAACTTTGCAAAAAATTTCGAGAAAAATAAACATCCCGACTTTTGCAAGTTCAGTAGGTCTCCCAACCTCCCTTGAAGTGCGAAATGATCAGTTCCGACCCCGAATAGCCGAGTTGTGGCATCCTCAGGGCCTATCGTGTCCGACCAGGCCCAAAAAACGGCGCGTCGGGCCCGTGAGGCCAGTTTTCTTTTTTGAATTTGTGACGGCCCTCCGGCCGTCCATCATCCATGATCAACGACCAGAGGGCCGTTTGATTTTTGGAGGGAAAAACGAGGCCCCGTTTGAACAACCGACTGGCTGGGGCGGCCTGCATCGGCTGTCCAAACGGGGCCTTGGTTTTCCCCAGCCGCCTGCGTTCGAGGTTCAGCCGCCCTCGCTCCTCCTGCTGCCCGTTGTCGCCATCGCCTGGGAGCTACACTCCCCCGTCGTCGTGGAGTCGCCCGTCGCCAGCGTCGCGGAGTCGCCCGTCGGTCGTCCCCCTCTCACCATCTTCTTCTTCTTCTTCTTCTCTCCTCCTCCTCCTCTTCCC